GCTCCTCTTTTAAGGGGACCCAGGGGGAGATGTTGTCCGGCCCCCAAAACCTTTGAGGTATAAAGGTTACTTAGCAGCTTCTGCACCTCCTCCCGGTTTTTTTTAATGTCTTTTCCAACACTTTTTTGGAAAAACCCCCTCTTAAATTTTCCCCCTTTCTTTTTGCTGCCCCCAGACCCCTTCCCTGTCTTTTACTGAAAAAAACTTCCTTAATCTCCTGTTTAGCCCCCTCACATACCTCCTGATATTTCTTGTGAGTTTTCCCCCTTCTGTCCCCAGGGCTGATCACCTGGTCTTTGACTGCGTTTTTCCTCCGAAGGGCTATACAACAGTTTTTGCGTCAGTCTTAAATTTTTGATGGGTTTTATTTTTTATACTGTCGTGGGCCTCCCTCCTTACCTGTGCTACTCTTCCCGGCTCTGCGGGTGATTTCCCCATTTTCCCTGTGTTCTCTGCCTTCTGTACTTTTTCCATTTTCTATTGCATTTTTTTTTGCCTCCTTACACCGTCGGGGAAAAACCCGGGGCTTTGTTCTGGTCTTCCCCTTTTTACTGGGTTTCCCCCCTTTGGGAAAAAACCTTTTTCCCCTTCCTCCTTTTCATTTTTTTTTGTTAAAATATTCCCCTCATTTCATTTACGGCCTTTTCCCCCAGTTTTTTCTGTCCCAGGACCTCCGCAGGAAGTTCCCCAACCCATGTAGTCCCCCCTTTTATAGTTGGCTTTTCCCCTTCAAATCCCGTTACTTTTTTCATTGCAAACTTTTTTTGTATTCAAAGAAAAAAAACCACGTGGTCCCCTAGCTCCTAGGGAACCCCTTTAAAGTTATTTTCCTCAATGCGAACTGCCCCGGGGGAAAAAAAGGTCCCCTTTTTGCTGGTTCATCCTCCCCTCCCCCCACTCTGGGATTTTACTTAACATGTTTGGGGCATGAGTTTTCCCCACACCCCTCCAACATCTTGGTTCTCCAATGTGTTGTGTGTTGTGGGGTGGTGTTTTGTGGTGTTTGGTGATGTTTTGTGTTTGTGTGTGTGTGTGTGTGGTGGGTGTGTGGTGTGTGTGTTTGTGGTGTGTGTGTTTTTGTGGGGTGTGGTGTGTGTGTTTTTTGTGTGTGTGTGTGTGTTTTGGGGTGTGTGTTGGGGTGTGTGTTTTGTGGGGTGTGTGTTTGTGTGGTGTGTGTGGGGGTAAACACTATTTGTACTCACCTTTTGGGGGGTTGCAGGGGGCGAGTCACCCCTCCCGGCCCCCCCTCTTCGTATTGCCCACTAGGTCCCTCTCTCCCGCCCCTGAGCTCTATCATACCTCGCCTTTAAAACTTTTTAAGGGGTTTTCCCCCTTCATCCTTTCTATGCTAAAAACCACTGCCTTAAATACCTATGACTGAAGGAAAAAATTCCTAAAAATCCCTTTTTTTATCTGAGTCCCTTTAACTTCCCAATTTTTTGACCCCCTTGTGTCTGTGTCCCTTCTTTTGGAACAAACCCCTCTTTGTTCCACCTTGTCTATTCCGCGCAGTATTTTATATGTCGTTATCATGTCTCCCCTGACCCTTCTGTCCTCCAGTGTCGTCAGGCCGATTTCCCTAAACCCTTTCTTCGTAGGACAATCCCCGTAGCTCGGGACTAGTCTTGTTGCAAACCTTTGCACTTTCTCTAATTTCTTGACGTGCTTGACTAGTGTGGTTTCCAAACTGGTGCTGCATACTCCAGTATGGGCCTGATTAAGGGGTTATGCAGAGTCTTAAACGAATCCTTACTGAGGTATCGCAACGCTATCCGTAGGTTTGCCAGGGGCCCGTATGCTGCAGCAGTTACCCTGATTGATGTGCGCCTCAGGAATATGCCCGGTGTTTATACTCACCCCCGAATCTTTTTCCTTGAGTGAGGTTTGCAGTCTTTGGCCATCTAAACTATATTGTGTCTACGGTCTTCTTTGCCCTTCCCCAATCTTCATGACTTTGCATTTGGCAGGGTTAAATTCAAGGAGCCAGTTGCTGGACCAGGCTTGTAGCCTGTCCAGGTCTCTTTGTAGTCCTGCCTGATCCTCATCCGATTTAATTCTTCTCATTAACTTCGCATCATCTGCAAACAAGGACACTTCTGAGTCTATCCCTTCCGTTATGTCGTTCAAATATACAGCACAGGTCCTAGGACTGACCCCTGTGGAACCCCGCTTGTCACAGGCGCCCGCTCTGACACCTCTGTCTTACTTCAGTCACCTTGTCATAAAACTCTATTAGGTTTGTGACACAGGATTTTCCTTCCCTGAAACCGTGCTGGTTGTCAATTATACACTTGTTTCTTTCCAGGTGCTCCACCACTCTCCTCCTGATGATCTTCTCCATGACCTTGCATACTATACACGTTAGTGATACAGGTCTGTAGTTTAGTGCCTCATGTCTGTCTCCTTTTTTAAAAATTGGGACTACATTTCCATTTTCCATACCTCAGGGAGTTGCCCAGTTTCAAATGATGTTGTTAGGTAAGACACATATGCAACAGTTAGACAACTTTATTCCGAAACGTTTCGCCTACACAGTAGGCTTCTTCAGTCGAATACAGAAAGAAGGCAGCATATGTGTCTTACCTAACAACCTGTCGGTATTGTATACCATTTTGATGTTCATCTTGTCAGACACTGCAACACGTGGCATCTTGGTACAGAAAACACCTTGGACAAGCTTTTCAAGTGAGAAGTGTTGGATCTGAGAGGGACATGACCTCTCAGTGGCCTCTCACTACTACTACTACTACTACTACTACTACTACCCTGCACCTCTCCTTCCGACAGTATTTAAGTCTCCGCACTGTCGCTTGATCTTCAGATAGTTCCTGACTATGGAACTGAACTTCTCCAGGCCGAGGGACTGACAACCTCAAATTCTACGACTTTAAGGGTGATGGACTGATTACATCGTCTTCACATCTCTACTGTTCCTGCCTTCTTTCTGTATTCGACTGAAGAAGCCTACTGTGTAGGCGAAACGTTTCGGAATAAAGTTGTCTAACTGTTGCATATGTGTCATACCTAACAACCTGTCGGTATTGTATACCATTTTGATGTTCAAATGATGTGTTGAAGATCTTTGTTAATGGCTCACACAATATCTCTGCTCCCTCTTTAAGGACCCATGGAGAGATGTCTGGTCCCACCGCCTTCGAGGTGTCAAGTTCGCATAGCAGCTTCTTCACCTCCTCCTTGGTTATATGTACCTCATCCAGCACTTGCTGGTGTGCCCCCCTGTTCTGATTTCCTGGACTCCTACTGGTTTCCACTGTAAATACCTCTTTAAATCTTGTGTTGAGCTCCCGACATACCTCTCGGTCGTTTCTTGTGAATTCCCCATCACCCTTCCTCAGTCTGATTACCTGGTCCTTGACTGTTGTTTTCCTCCTGATGTGGCTGTACAACAGTTTCGGATCAGTCTTTACTTTTGATGCTATGTCATTTTCATATTGTCTCTGAGCCTCCCTTCTTATCTGTGCATATTCGTTTCTGGCTCTTCGGCTAATCTCTTTATTTTCCTGAGTTTTGTGTGTGTGTGTGTGTGTGTGTGTGTGTGTGTGTGTGTGTGTGTGTGTGTGTGTGGTGTGTGTGTGTGTGTGTGTGTGTGTGTGTGTGTGACTCAACAATCAATATTTGCACCAATAACTAATTACAGTTGTGACCGGGTGTGGAAGTGTGAATTGCTCATTACTCTATAATTTGTTCATGATTGTAGCCATGTATAAAGGTAAGTAACCATTCTTACAGGATTCATTACCTTTGTAACTTGTGAGTTCATTACCTTCGTACCTAGTTCAGCTATCAAAACTTTGGGGGCCCAGTCCCTGGACCCATTACGTACCTCTGTAATCTGTAAATTCCTTTGTAACTTGTCATGATTGTGACCACACCTACCTGGAGTTCATTACCTTTGTAAATTGTGAGTTCATTACCTTTGTAATTGTGAGTTCATTACCTCTGTAACTTGCTCAGTTATCAAAACTTTGGAGTCCAGTCCCTGGACCAATTATGTACCTCTGTAATCTTTTGACTACCGCCCACAGGATGGGTATGGGGTTCATAATAAACATATTAAACTAAACTTCTTAAGATGATGAAATGAAACAATAAATTGGATTTATATTGTATTTTAGCAGCCTTTCGGTTCATTTGCAAGTGTAACTCAAAAGCAATCTACAGACTTATGAGGAGTTATCTTCAATCAGATTAAATATTATAAGCCAGGTACATTCCGTGCTTTTCTGATGGAAAAGTCTCTGATGACTCCATCAAAATCCAACGAGCGCAGGATGTCAGATTCTTTGCCGCCTTTGCTTCATGCTCGTTCATAGCCGGTTCTCACTACCACACTGTTGTTCACATACTGACCACGATCAAGCAGTCATTCATACTTCAGCGCCCTGCACACCCAGGATGATGATGTGCTGTGAGTCAACCTTGCGTCATGCAGCTAACAATGCGCTCGCATCAATGATGACTCAACATGACAATCCCAACACAATTCAGACTCTTGCATACATTTTCTCTTTTTGCGTTCTTTTAAATTCTCAGTATAATGTGTGTCATAATATTTTTTATCATTTGATAGGGGGCCCCGGGGCCCCTCCCCTAAAACCGGCCTTGACTGACATTAGCCACTACAATTACTTGTTTTATTAATCAGATTTAAAATTTAGTATAATTTGTTTCAATTCTTACAGTATTATGTAGGAAAATGTAAAAAAAAAGAGGGCCTATTGGATAATATCATACACACAAGCTAACTTTCAAAAGAGAAACAAACTGAACGATGTCCCAGCCGGTTCTGGACCAATCGTCATTCAATTTCAATTTCGAATTGGCCCAGCTACTCTACTGTAACTTATTCTTGACTGTATCGCCACTCAATGACTCTTTGGAGTCATTTTGTAAATGATTATATCAAACCCAATCAACTGTTCTACTCAGTTGCCTCCTGTATTATCATTGTACCGCAGTATTAATACCCTTTCCTATAGGTACTCCGTACCTGTACCCATGCCCCAGGCCCCGGTATACCAGCCGTCGAGGACCCTGCGTCACAACCAGGCACAGAGCAACCTTCTCTTCGCCTACAAGAGCTCCGACACTGACACGCTACCTCGGGCCAGGACGGAGACGTCATCCTACTTCTAACAGAGAGAATGATCCTGGTCATCCACCTTCTACACGCTGTTTGAGTTGCGCTGTGCAGTTATACTTACTGGGAACTCTTAAAATATTCACACCTTTTTATTTAATATATATATATATATATATATATATATATATATATATATATATATATATATATATATATATATATATATATATATATATATATATATATATATATATATATATATATATATATAATATATATATATATATTATATAATATGTATATAGGGAGGTACCACTTCTAGAACTGTTATAGGGACCCTCATCCTCAGATAAAAGAATAAACTTGCTTCAGGGAAAACTCAAGATTCTCCCTGAAGCTGTTTGAGAATTTTCTCCTACCACCCCCTATATTATATATATGTATATATATATATATATATATATATATATATATATATAATATATATATATATATATATATATATATATATATATATATATATATATATATATATATATATATATTATTTAAAGACAAAATACATTGACAAAACATTCACAAATATATATTATAATATATATATATATATATATATATATAATATATATATATATATATATATATATATATATATATATATACATATATATATACCCTCCTACTGTAACATTATCAGCCCTCCTTTAGAGTGCAGTTACTGCCCTTCACACACACACACACACAGCCAAGTGTCCGTCGTCAACTGCTTTTGACAAATAGTAATTAAAATACAATATATATTACATATATTTTGGAGAAAAATTTTAAGGAACAATTTTCTCATGAGGGAGTGTGGAAGCCTCGAACCGGAGGCAGTAATTACAAGGCCTCCACTCTACCACATCGACCACTGATGTTAATTTTCAGAGGCTCCGTCCTGATACGAAAACCTTCCCATACCCTACACGTATAACCCGCACTTAGGAGACACACTTATGACGACGTTTCGGTCCAACTTAGACAATTAACTAGTCACACGGAAACTTGAGGGAGTAAGGGAGCCAGGTCATAGTTTACTGTACTCTGGCAAGATTGTAGTTGCAGAGTGAGGGCTAGAATGGACGGACTGTAATTTCATTCCTCTGGTTCGAAACGCCTCACACTCCCTCACGTAAAAAAAAAATATTTATATTTATAATATAACAAATACAGTTAAGTACACTGAGGCTCAAAAGTGCCAACAAACGCAAGTGTAGACCAACACATTGATTCACTAAATAAAATTTTATTACGGAAAAATCGCAAGAATAATTTATTGTTAAGAATTAAGCTAACAGGCACAAATTCTGATTTATATATATATTTATATATGATATTTACCCTCAGTATATTAGTACAAATTTGTCTCTTTCACGTCATGTTGTCTTCACGAGTTTGAATTATTAACTCAGATTTTTGCAGGACTTACCAAAACTTTTTGTTTATATATATGTGACAAATTATTGCTGTGTTTTATTTTCCACATTCTCAAATGTATCTATGATGTGCAGCCGTGTTAATAATAATAATAATAATAATAATAATAATAATAATAATAATAATAATAATAATAATAATAATAATAATCTTTATTTCTACAAGCACATGTACAATGTATACAGTCCTAGCTGACATCAATGACATGCTATATATAATAGAAAGCCCTTTGTTATGCAGAGCATTTCGGGCAAATTAGGTCAATTTTCTCCCCAGGATGCGACCCACACCAGTCTCCTAACACCAAGTTACGGGACACCGTGAGGTCCTAGGTTCGATCCACCAAGTTTCCCTACACCTCTGCTGTCCCTTCTCACCTAACAATAAAATTATGTTCCCAGATATAAGTTAGTGCATACCATTTACGGGTTTAACGCTTCCCTATTAATATATAATAATGAATGTAATTCGGCTGTCAGGAGTCTCCTCCCGGTAATCAGTTTACTAAACATTCTATTTTGCTTAATTTGGTGTTTAGGGGTACATTAGTGCTTTTAGCAGAATTAGGATCATTGAGGTTGGCAGCGCCCTCAGCTCACATACAGAGTTTCTGTGGTTCTATCTCCGGCACGGGTGGAAACGTCGGGCATGTTTCCTTGCATCTCTCTACTGCCCCTGTTCACCTAGCAGTAAATAGGTACCTGGGTGGGTGGCATCCCAGAGGGAGCTACAGTATACCTTAAATATGATAGGGCTGGTCTTGGAAATGAGCTGAGGTAGGAAAACAGCTATAATCCGCTAGCTCGGTGTATCGTAGCTTGATTGCTACCGAACTCAGCTCACACACTGAGGTCCGGAGATCGATCCCCCGGTACGGCTGGAAAACATTAGGACGTGTTTCCATAAGATACCCGCTGTCCCTGTTCACTTATCAGTGAAATGGGACGGTACCTGGGTGTTAGTAATAATAATAATAATCTTTATTTACTACAAGTACATGTACATGGTATACAGTCCTAGCTGACAACAATGACATACTACTACATAGAAAGCCACTTGTTATGCTGAGCATCTCGAGCAAATTAGGTCAGTGTCCCAGGATGCGACCCACACCAGTCGACTAACATCCAGGTATCCATTTTACTAATGGGGAACATAGACAACAGGTGGAAAGAAACACGCCCAATGTTTCTACTCTGGCTGGGAATCGAACCCAGGCCCTCACCGTGTGAAGCGAGAGCGTTAACCACCAGGCCACCAGGTGTGGGTCACATCCTGGGACAAAACTGACCTAATTTGCCCGAAATACTCTACATAGCAAGGGGCTTTCTATATAGTAGTATGTCATTGATGTCAGCTATGGTCTGTATACCTTGTACATGTACTTGTTGAAATAAAGATATTATTATTAAAGTTGATATGTGTAAAAGAAAAGGGGGTCACCCTTGGGAACAAGGCCGTCTCCCTAGGAAGGGGGATCCCAAAAAGAAAAAAACACTTCCACCATCATTTGCACTATCACTGTCTTGCCAGAGGTGCACAGATACGACAGTTTAGATGTTACTCAAAACTGCAGATATCCCAAACCCCTTCTTTAGAGTGCAGGCATTGTACTTTCCACCTCCAGGACTCAATTCCGCACAACCGATATCCCTGAATTCCTTCACAAAACATTACCCTGCTCACACTCCAACCTCTTCTGGTACTGAGTCTCAAGATAAGCTCTGTTCGGATTTTTAACCCCAGAGGGTTAGCCACCCAGGATAACACAAGATAAGACACACATAATAAGACAGTGGAGACAGTTGACTTGCTATATGTACAGCAGTTCTTTCTCGAAGTCTAAACCATACCCCCGGGCTGGAGTTTTGAGACTATGACCGCGGGTTCAATCCCGGCCGGGGGTATGGTTTATTTGCAATCGTGTCATTACGATTTCTTGAGTCTCGAAGTCTGTTTTAAACATTTAAAATTTCCAGGATATTTTTTTTCTCTTAATCCATTTTTTTTATTTTTATATATTAAAGAGTCATATTTCAACAGACATGTTTAGCTCAGATGAGCAGTCTATACTATTTTCGTCAAGACTTTTCTCAAAATGACCGTTAAGAGCTCCAGACCCCAGACCATATCTAACTTGAGTGTTTATTGATGTAACTCTTGGAGAAAGTCAATCAGCAGAGCATGACAAAGTAATGACAAAGTAATGGGTAGAGCATGACAAAGTAATCAGCAGAGCATGACAAAGTAGTCAGCAGAGCATGACAGTAATCAGCAGAGCTTGACAAAGTAATCAGCAGAGCATGACAAAGTAATCAGCAGAGCATGACAAAGTAATCAGCAGAGCATGACAAAGTAATGGGTAGAGCATGACAAAGTAATCAGCAGAGCATGACAAAGTAATCAGCAGAGCATGACAAAGTAATCAGCAAAGCATGACAAAGTAATGGGTAGAGCATGACAAAGTAATCAGCAGAGCATGACAAAGTAATCAGCAGAGCATGACAAAGTAATCAGCAGAACATGCCAAAGTAATCAGCAGAGCATGACAAAGTAATCAGCAGAACATGACAAAGTAATCAGCAGAGCATGACAAAGTAATGGGTAGAGCATGACAAAGTAATCAGCAGAGCATGACAAAGTAATCATCAGAGCATGACAAAGTAATCAGCAGAGCATGACAAAGTAATCAGCAGAACATGACAAAGTAATCAGCAGAGTATGACAAAGTAATCAGCAGAACATGACAAAGTAATCAGCAGAGCATGACAAAGTAATGGGTAGAGCATGACAAAGTAATCAGCAGAACATGACAAAGTAATCAGCAGAGCATGACAAAGTAATCAGCAGAGCATGACAAAGTAATCAGCAGAGCATGACAAAAGGATAATTAGACTGTCAGACAAGCACACGGGTAAAATGCAGTGAGCCGATGCAGCAACACAGTTAAAAAATGTAAGGGAACCTTGTATATTATTTAAGAAGAGCTAAATCCTTACGGGTCATTATTATTATTGCTATCATCAGTTTAAATCCGAAAGGGTCATATAACGCCCCTAAAATCGGCATAATTAACTTAGTGTCTGTAACATATGTCCTAAGCATAGATTTTTAGATTTTGCCACCGAAGTGGCTAGTTTATTGTGCACCCCATATCCATCCTGTGGACGGTAGCGCGAGAGCATATGGATACACAAAAGGCCTAGGAACTAGGCCCCAAAGGGTTAACAGGAATACATATGGATTTATATCTACATATCTATAGTTCACTTATCTGTTACAAGCAAATTTAGGAAATTTGCTTAGTATATCTGGTATCTTATTTTCATTAATAAGATATCTTGACATGTCACATAGGTTATTATACTGTCTGTCTCTGTATTCCTCAATAAGTGGACAATTAAGCACATAGTGTTCAAGAGAGTGACCATATGCCTGATCACATAATTTACATTTAGTTTGATCATCATCTGTGTGTCTCCCAAACTGCCAGAAGTACTTGTAACCAAGCCTAAACCTGGCCACTACAACATCAGTCAGTCTGTTCACATTGCAAGTTGCTCCATAAACATACTTATCTACGTTCATGTTATCATAGTGGGTTATAGATCTACTCAGGCTTCTAACTGCATTCCTATAACAATCATTTTCATTATTTACTTCTCTCCTAATATTATTCCTAATGCTAGACACAGTTATACCAAAGTTATATTCTACATTCTCCTTCTCGATACTCTTCTTGGCTAACATATCAACTTTATCATGAAGGAGTAATCCAATGTGTGTTGGGATCCATAGCAATTGTACATTAATTCCTTTGTCCCTAATTTTTGAGTATCTATACCTGGCTTCCCCAATGAGCATGTTGTTGGAGTCATTATATGAGCCAAGAGCCTTCAATGATGACATAGAATCAGTAATGATGATAGAGTCAAGCTCAGTGTCATAGGTTAGCTTTAGCGCCATTAGGATTGCAAACAATTCAGTTTGCAGTGTAGACGCCCATTTGTTAATTCTTATGCCTAACTCAACAAATTTATTATCGTTCTTAACTAGGGAGGTGGCAACAAGAGCAGATGCAGCCCTGCCAGAACTAAGCATGTAAGCTAGCTTGGTTACAAGATGGTCCAGCTTGTTTTGACAGAAGTTGGGTTGATTACTTGTTATTTTCATTGGGGTCCTTGATTGTTTTTTTCTGGTCCTTGATATTTCCATTGAGGTCCTTGATATTTCCATTGGGGGTCCTTGATATTTCCATTGGGGGTCCTTGATATTTCCATTGGGGTCCTTGATATTCCCATTGGGTCCTTTATTATTTTCATTGGGGTTCTTGCTATTTCCATTGAGGTCCTTGGTTATTTCCATTGGGGTCCTTGTTATTTCTATTGGGATCCTTGTTATTTCCATTGGGGTTCTTGCTTTTTCCATTGGGGTTCTTATTTCCATAGGGGTCCTTGCTATTTCCATTGGGGTCCTAGTTATTTCCATTTGGGTCCTTGCTATTTCCATTGGGGTCCTTGTTATTTCCATTTGGGTCCTTGCTATTTCCATTGGGGTCCTAGTTATTTCCATTTGGGTCCTTGCTATTTCCATTGGGGTCCTTGTTATTTCCATTGGGGTCCTTGCTATTTCAATTGGGGTCCTTGACTAATTTCGGCTAGCGACCAGCGAAAGGGCGGGGTCCAGGAGCTGTGAATCGACTCCCTGCCACCACATATAGATGAGTACATCTAGTTATCACCCAATAAGTTAAATATATTTATGTACCCCATACCCATCCAGTGAGCGGTAGTCAAAAGATTACAGAGGTACATAATGGGTCCAGGGACTGGACCCCAAAGTTTTGATAGCTGAGCAAGATACAAATGTAATGAACTCCAGGTAGATCTGGTCCCAATCATGACAAATTACAAAGGTATTTACAGATTACAGAGGTACATAATGGGTCCAGTGACACACATTGTCCTCAGACACCCGGGAACAAGGGTTCAAAAAACAGACATAAGCCACGGTGCCCTTAACAATCCCAACAACGTCGTGTACAATATTCACAGTCTCACTGCATTAACCTGAAGAAGTGAGTTTATTTAGGTACAGGTACACTTAAATACAATTATCGTACATCGTAACATATGTGTAAATTACCCAGGATAACCCAAAAGAGTCAGACGGAGTGACATTTCCATTGGGGTGGAGCCCTTAAAGATTGAGATTTATTTCTTTGTAGAGGATTTAGGTACAAGTTTACACAGTTTTAGGGATGATTTACAATTGTCTTAACATAGTAACATATGCATAATAACCACTACTTTTACGATTACTTATTGAATAGTAACATACGCGTAAATGGCCCAGGATTATCCAGAAACTGACTTTTTCTCCTCGATTCCCCTCAAAGAAGGTTCCTTGATCCTGGTGAGGGGCTCTTGATCTAGGGAATTTGATCTGTGCTCCAGTTCCCTGAATTAAGCCTGAATACCTTCCACATCCCGCCCACAGGTGCTACATAATCCTACGGGTTTAGTACTCCCCCTTGATTATAATAATAATAATTTCCCTCGATTTCCTTGAAATATTTTGCATTTAGTAGCCTGGCTGTGTGACCCTTGTGTGTTTAGCACTTTGTTTTGATTATAATAATAATTTCAGTAGCTCTATTAGATACATGAAATAAGAATATTATCAGTAAGAATGAAATGGTAAATCAAATGTATGAAAACGAATTAGAATAATAATAGATATTATAGTGATGAAATGGAGTAAATTAAATAAGTGAAAATTAAGTTACATTATCACTTAAAAGGAAGAGATCAGCTGAATATAACATGACACAAGTGTTAACTATGATAGAAATTACATTCCTCTATTGTGGCTTTACTCATTGTTTTTTTTTTATTAGTCAAGTATATTCAGATACAGGTATACAGAAATACAGATACATAAATTATCATAAATTATCCTAGGTAATCTTCACATATGCTATCATGTACGATATTTTTTTTAAACATAAATTAGCATGACAGCATGTGTGTAGAATACCTAGGATAACCCTCCCCCCCCCAAAAAAAAAGTCAGAGTGACTTATTTCCACTGGCTTTTGTTAATATTGACCTTGACATGGTCAGGCAGTAAGTTCCACACTGTTAATACTACCCAGAATGCCTTGTCCATATAATTATCTTTTATTGCCTTACTTAAGTTAGTATTAAGTTCGCCACAATGCTCCGCATGCAAAGGGGCTTTTGGCATATTACACCCAACTGCTATACTCCTTTGTACAACTATGTATCACGTCAAAATAAATTTCTTGTTCTTATTCTATATCAGTCACCCTAATTTTATAATGTACAGTTCTCCACTTATAGAAACAAATTTTGTTATATGAGATGTTTGAGCACTGACCACCTACTGTAAATACTGTGTTCACTTAACCTTAGGTAGATACACATAAGTACAATTATACTACTACTACTATACTACTACTACTACTATACTACTACTACTACTACTATACTAATTGTGAATTTTATTTTGTCAATTTAAATCTAGTTATACTCTTGATCTTGTCAACAACCTATACCAGACTCTTGTGCAATTACAAGTACCATTTCAATTTGTATTTTTATATTATAAGTTTATATTATAATTCCTACTCTAAGATTGTTTTCATATCTTAGTGACTATATTGTGTGTGCAATTAGTGTATATTTCAATTATATTATTGTTCAAGGCCCTTAACTATCTTTTGCTAACTAGTACCAACTACCTCATATATCTTTTTTTTTTTTCTACTTTTTTTATTCTTTTGGGCTCCCTTTAACTTGTATATTTTATCTTGTCAATTTAAATCTATTATACTCTAATTCTTGTAAACAACTTATAATAACACCTTAGTGCAATTACAATTGAGAGACTTGTGCCTTTTTTTATTTTAAATTAGATTAAACCATTGTACTATGTCAATACCAAAATTTCATTATATTAGACCATATTGCAATTACTAAGTGAGAGACTGGTGCTATTTTTAATTTGTATTTTTATATTATTAGATTAAATCTAGTTGAAACATAGCTCATTCTAACTCAAAACATAGACTCCACAAAAGTCCATTTTAATAGACCTTAGTGCAATTACAAGTGAGTCTTGTTCTATTTAAATTGTATTTTTATATTACTATTTATACCTAGTTGTACTTTAGTTCATTCCAGCACAACACATAGACAACATCAACTTCATTATGTGTAGTAGTGACTATACTCTATATGACCAAAATACTCTAGCTATATACTTATCCAAGCTTCCCACCACTACAGATATCAGTACTAGAACTCAAACACATAACTCAGGATATAATAAAACAAAAAATTTAAACCTAGAAGAAGATTGATCACGTTGACCCTGATCTAAACCTCCATAATCTGACACCCAATCAAAACCTATTGGAAGTAACTGCCTTTATTACACAGCACCCACAAGCCAGCACTATCCAAAACAATTCAAAAGCCTATCAGTACTTAACTACAACATCAGGTCCTTAAGCCAAACACTATGATGACCTCCGGGCACTCCTTGAATCACTAAAGACACCCTTCTCCGTATTATTCTTACTGAGACCTGGCTTAAGCAGGACACAATAGATATCAAACCCTCTACCAGGATACACAGCAATTCACAACTGCAGACCAAACCAAGTTGGGGGTGGTATTGCAATCTATTACTCTAACCAATTATTTTGTATTAGCACCACTTGCTTTAGTGATGAATATGGGGAAATACATTTTTGCTAATTTTACTGTAAAAAACCTTAAACCCCTTAAACAATGGGTGCAATTTACCGGATACCTCACACAAACCCAACCCCAAATTTAAGTGAGAAATTAAAGTCACTAATAAAAACAGACAAATGAATAAGAAACCAACCTTCTCTTAGCTGGAGACTTCAACATAAAACCTTGGCTTACTAGATGATCAGCCTGTAACGGGATTTCATCAACAATATGAACAACACACTTCTCATACCAACAATAACTAAACCAACCAGGCTCACTGAGACAAGTGCAACCATAATAGACCACATATGGACCAATATACAGCCCCCCTTAAATCAGGGATAATCACAGATAACACTACAGACCACTACCCTACCTTCCTCCTGACAAACATTAATAAACCACCACTTGAATACAACTAAGTCTCATTTAGACTCCATGACGAGGCCTAAATTTAAGGAAGCTCACAACTGACCTAGAGATTGTGACTGCCTACAAAAATTCTCCAAGGCCAATGGTATTGATGACTGGAAAAGACATTTTTCTTAACAAATTACTTAGACTATACAACAAACATTGTCCTATAAAAACGAAACAGATCCCAAACAAAGGGCTTGGTTGCCCATGGCTAACCACACCATTCTGAAATCCATTGACAAGAAACAACAATATGAAAAGCAATATAGACAGGGTTAATACACAAAAAATATCTTAAACACTATTCATCAGTTCCCCCAAAAGTAATAAAGAAAGCCAAACAATTATAATACTCCAGTAGATTCACAGACATTAGAGGAGATATAAAAAAAGACCTGGAAAACACTCTCTCAGATTCTAGGACCCACAAACTGAAAAAAAACCAAGAATTTTGTCCTAATTTAAACCTAATGAAACCCCACTACATCCCACTGACACAGCTAACAAGATAAACGACTTCTTCTCAACCATAGGATCTAATCTCCCCAAATAAAATCCCACATACTAATGCCCATGCCGGGGAAATACCTAGATGGGGGAAATTTTTCCCGATTCCTTCTATCTTGCACCAACTGAGCCCTCGGGAAATCACCGAGATTAAAAGTCACTTAAAAACAACTCAGGAATCTGTCTAATGTCCCAAACCCTTTCGTACAAGCGAGCGGGCCCAATCCTTTCGCATGCTATTTCATTACTTTTTAACAAGTCACTAGAAACTACACCTTCCCGAAACTACTCAAGATGGCAAGGGTTTCACCAGTACATAAAGGTGGTAACCCTACAGACTTAAACAACTATAGGCCAATATCAAACTTACCATTGCTATCTAAAATCTTTGAGAAACTCGTGCACAGGAGACTATATTCATTTTTAACAGCACAAAAAATACTCAACCCCTGCCAATTTGGATTTAGGAAAAAAAAAGCACTAATGATGCAATCATAAAAATGCAGATCTGCTTTACACAGCATTGAAAATAAGGAATATCCACTAGGAATTTTTTTTTGACCTAAGAAAAGCTTTTGAAAACAGTAGAAACCCCGACACCTATCTCCACAAACTTACCATTACGTATAAGAGGCCATGCGCTTGCTTATTTCAAAACTTACCTTACTAATAGTTTTCAGTTATGTTACCATTAAAGACACAGCATCAACAACACCGGCCACTTGATACTGGAGTTCCGCAGGAAGTGTCCTTGGTCCCCTGCTCTTCCTCAATACATCATTGATCTTCCAAACGATCCCAACACCTGAAACCCATTCTCTTGCTGACGACACGACTTATGTCATCTCTCACCCTAATCTTGTCACCCTCAACACCATTTTTAATGAGGGGCTGATCAAAATATCGCTTGGAAAGACAGCCAATAAACTTATGCTTAACCACTGACAAAAAACCCACTATATTATGTTTGGTAGCAGAGCAGGAGATGCACAAATTAACATTAAAATCGACAACACTCTAATTAAACCCGACATAATGAGGGCAAATTCCTAGGCCAAAACCTTGACAACAACCTGAATTTCAGCACCCATATCCAACACATAACAAAAAAGTATCCCAAAACAGTTGGGATCCTCTCCAAGATACGATACTACGTCCGCAAAATGCCCTTCTCACACTATACCACTCATTTATTTCCAACCTCACCTATGCTATTTGTGCTTGGGGATCAACTGCAGCAACACACCTAAAGCCAATAAAAACCCAACAAAAAGCTGCAGTAAGAATAATCACTAAATCCCATCCCTGGCAAACACACCCCCCACTCTTCATAGATCTAAACTTACTCCCTGTTCAGTACATCCACACTTACTACTGTGCAATC